GGTATTTCTCCAAGTTACTGTTATCTTCACACTGCTTAAGCCAAGTTGCAAAGGCAAGAGGAACTACAGAAGTCGCAGGAGACAGGGTTTCTCTTTAATAATCTGCAACCAGCGCTGTTTCTGTTTAGTTGACTTGCAGAGCTCAGAGTTATGCAATAATGAGTATGTCATTCTCCCGGGGATCACCAGAAGGCTGTGAAGCAGGGGGGTAAGTTATATAGCACAATGCATCTAGAGAGGCCTAATGCTTCAGTTACCTTCCAATGCAGATATCTTCAGCTGCAGCAAAGAATGTCTCTCAATTCATGTGGTTTTTAAAATGATTGCTTTTTCTCCATATCCTTAATTTTAGGAAGATCAAAGTAATTCTATATGGGAATTTCTGACTTCAGAGTGTTAGGACTCAAAATTTAGGACTGAAAGCTTTCCATCATTAGCCAAAAAACTTTTGGTGGAAGTTGTTTTTTATCTTACTTTACGATTTAAACATTTACACAAATACATTAAAATGAGATGAATATTCAAGAAAATCTGTTTTAAAATAGAACAAACTAGCAGGCTGAGTTTTCTTTTGCAGCTACTGGTGACCATTATTGAGCTTGTTCATTCCTTGGAATATTAATTTCTATCAAGGGTTACACTCTTTATATTTAAATGGTGCAATCAAAAGAAGAAAACCAGAAGGAAAGAAAGGGAACCAAAATCACTTTTAGGAAGTATCACAGTTGAAAGTGACCAATTGAGGTTAATAAATTGAGAAGGCCTTCGGTACTATCGGTTTGATACAGCAAGTGAAACGTACATGTCCATTTACACAGTTAAATGTGTGAAATGGCTTTTAGTTTTTATTGTGTCCAAGTGTGAACAATCTCAAATCGCAACATGTAACAGCATTTTGTGCAGGAAGTATCAATTCCACTGGCTTTCTTCTATTATTTTTTTATTTACCTTTTTTCAGATTGCTAATATGTATATTATGGGAAAGGATAAGATTGTCTTAGCAATTATTATTCAAATGACAAGATGAGAGAATGAGAAGGAAGGTGATATTTGAAATGTGTGGAAATATGTTATGACAACTGACTAGTAAAGGAGTCAGTTGGATGAGTGAGGATGCATTTTGAATGAATAGTGGCAGAAATAATTTTCTCAAGGCAATTTTTCCTTGAAGAATATCTTCTATGCAGTCCTATACACACTTCCCTATCATCCCACTTGTCAGAACCCCTTTTCCCTGAAGTTTCTAGTTCAAGTACTACGTGCTTTAAGAAATCTTTTCCAATCAGTGCAACCATTATCTGTCTGTGTCTCAGTAGAGCTGTTCTTGCTGTTTTCATGTTTGTACTCCCCATGATTCAGCACACTGTAGATTCTTAAACCATATTTCATAATCACTACATCTGTACTCAAAGAAAAAGAAGGAATGTTACATGTCCAAGGGGGCCATTATTAAGCCAAGAACATAGAAAAGTTCAAACAAATCCAATTAAAAGCATTTATTAAGACTCTCGTGAGCATGGCATAGAGATTCTTGATTGAAACAGATTCATGAATTGGATTATAGCTAGACTGCACTGATATGGAAAGCATGGAGTTAAATGAAAATTCTGTGTCTTCCAATAAGTTGTGATTTTTTATCTTGGTTCTACTTAAGCTGTGACTCATTCAGAGTCAAGAAAAAGAGCACATAAGTCAAGTAGAGTCTATTTCATTCTGGATATTTTGTAAGATAGTCAGCACCTCTGCTTCATTTATTTTCTCTCCTTCCCGTAAGAGATATAACCCCTTATGTCTGGGTAAATGATGTGATCTCACTTCGCAGAATTGTTTGTTTGCCTTGAATCACTGTGTTTATGGTCATCAAGTCATTTCCATGGGATTAGTGGAGACTTTTCTCTGATCACCTACACTGGACCTCAATGCACAAAACCTAGTTTTGTTTAGTTTTGTTTTGAGAGGGAGTCTTGCTCACTCTATTTCTCAGGCTGGAGTGCAGTGGCACGATTTTCGCTAACTGCTACCTCCACCTGCTGGGTTCAAGCAATTCTTCTACCTCAGCCTCCTGAATAGCTGGAATTACAGGCGTGCACCACCATGCCCAGCTAATTTTTATATTTTTAATAGAGACAGAGTTTCACTATGTTGGCCAGGCTGGGCTCAAACTCCTGACCTCAGGTGATTCACCTGCCTCAGCCTCAAAATCTAGTTTTGAGCTCCACAGTTGCTAGCTGACTAGTGGATTAAGTTACTTAAATTTCCATAGTTGAAGTTAGCCTCCTATAAAGTAAGGCTAATAATGTATACTTCATAAGGGTAGATACAAGGATAAAACATAAATATATAAACTTTAAAATTTATTTCTCAGGTAAATAAGGTAAAATAGAAAAAAAACTATTTGTATAGTTTATTATGACCATCCTTTTATTTTTTATGTAAGAGAAATTATAACCTCATGACTTTGGCATCCTTCTTGCTATACATATCTCAATCACCAGTTAGGCTCTGTTCAGGATGACTGCCCTTGCTTTTTCTCCTACCTGGAGGGCTCTTGGTCTGACCTATTCTTATGGCTTCCCCCTCACTTTCTTAAAGTCTGGGTTCATATTTTATCTAAACAGAGAGATTTTTGCAACTTCTTCTGTAAAACAGTACTTTCTAATTATGGCTATCCCCTCCACCATGCTTTCTTTTCTTCAGAGCACCTATCACTATCTACCTCTATCTGAATATAATGTAAACTCCTTGGGTGTAGGGACTTTATTGTTTTATCTCTATTATTTAAGGGAATGTCTGGCATATATAGACCTTTAATAAAAATGTATATTAAATAAATACATGAATGAAAATTTTCTAACCTATTAGTGACAGGTATGAACTTTGTGAAATGTGACTTTTGGTAGCTCCACAACTTTTCAATTATATAACGTAAGACAAGTAAAATAATATCTCTAGGCCTCAAGTTACTTTTTTGTAAACTCCAATATTACCTCTAGGTTGTCCTAAAGACATTGCCTGTATTTGACTACTTAGAATCCATTTGTGTGTGGGGGGGAGGGGGGAGAGAGACAGAGAGAGGGAGAGAGAGGGAGAGGGGGAGAGAGGGAGAGAGGGAGAGAGAGAAGGAGAGAGAGGGAGAGAGGGAGGGAGGGAGGGAGGGAGGGAGATTCAGTCAGACTAATCTCTACAAATGTAATTCTAAAGTCACTATGTTTTCTTAAATCTACCTTTGATGACTTGCTTAAAACAAAGTAAGTTATCGCCTTAATGACATCCTTAAGACAATATTTAATATTCTTAACTTTGTCTTATCCGATTTAGAAACTGCTTATCTTACAAATCTCGTCATATGCCATCTCTGTGTTTCAGTCTTGATGGCCTTTTTCAATCCCAAAACAGCATCATTGTCTTGACTTTAAAACCGCATTTACCTTATTCTCCATTCCTTCTTCTCAATCGCCAATGTATTCTTTTACATACTTAATCATATTTAATTCTTATTTATCTTTCAGGTCTCAATTTAAATGCAAGTCTTCCATACGTCTTTCTGTCTGCCTACCTGTCTATGTATCCATCCATCCATCCATCCTATGTTGACCTATAGTTTTCAAATACCCAACCAGGTTTTAACTGTAACAATGTCAACTTCCTATACTTCACCTAAAATATCTGTCTTTTTGGCTACACTTCAAGCTCCATGAGAAAATAACCAAGTCTTTCTTATTCATTATTGTATCCTCAAAGCTCAGCACAGTGCCTGATGCTTAGTAAGATTTCTGTAAATATTCCTTGAATTAATATGGAGTCACAAGGCAGTGATTATCATTATTATGAAAATATCATCTGTTGTTTGTTTAATGCTACTATAATTATTTTAGTAAAACCAAAACTTTGGCTATAGTAAAATCATGAATAACGGTGACGGATTCAAAAAGAGAACAAAAGAAAGACGAAGGAGAAAGAGATGAGATGGAGGAGTTCAACAAAGAGGAAGACATGAGAAAACAATGAAAATGAGGAAGACATGGAAAGAGAGATTAAAAAATGGAAGGGAAAAGAAAGGAATATAGAGTTTTTACTCTCCATTTTTACCGGAATAAATTCAGATGTATCAGTTAAGGAATAAGAGAATTTCATTGTTAGCTATAACAGGCAATTATCTTGTGCTGCCACATTCTCATTACATATGAGTTTACCTTTATATCTACTGACACTAGTTTTGATTACCTAGCTTTAGGAATACTTATCATATCTTACTTCTTTTCCAAGGACATCTCATTTTTATGAATTCTTACCTTTTTAATTTCGAACTCTAATTCTATATATTTCTGTTTTACTAATGTTTCTTCTGTTACTTCATTTAACCATTCCTTTTAAATTTTATTTTAAAAATTTAGTCATGATGTTTTTATTTCCAGAACAATTTCTCATTTACTATTGTTGAGGATTCTGCTTATATGTAATTTATTAATATATAAATCTTATATGAATTCTAATATCCTACCAATGAATGTTTCAGAACAATTATCAGTTAAGCCAATAAACTAGGCTGCCTTTTATATCAAGTAAAGGGAACGATAATATGATAAGTAAAAATATACAGATGTTTTCCAAAAGCCTCACAACAAGCAAGAGAAGCTATATTATATAGTTATAATTCATGATTACTATGCTAAATCACAATAACTCTTGTGAACAAAATGGTTAAGGTCAATTATTCAAAACAAAATACATAGAAAATATCTTATTTCAGATTATCTTGAAAACAATTATGAGGACTGTAATTATTGCATAATTTATGCTATGTCATTTGGATAGCATTATTTACAAGGCATTGTTCAAGACTATGTATTCACTAATATTTCTATGTTGTGTTTTGCATCTGAACATATAGGAAGAATAAATGTCCCCAAAGTTGGAGTTCATTCCTTTTTTCAGAGACCTTTTGAATCTGAGGTAAAAAGAAGATAATCAGAGTGATAGTAACTGAGGAAAAGTCTTACCATCTAGATCATTCTCTGGGGTCTCTGCAGTATACCAGTTGGAAGGTGGTCCAGTACCATTGACTGTCATGGCTGACACTTGGAAACTGTACTGACTTCCTTTCTCCAGTCCTATGAAAGAATTTTCCAAAGAGGGGAAGAAAGTTACTAAGCACCAAGTACTCCTATCTGGGCTTCAGAAAGCTTCAGCAAAATTGTAACAACAGTGAACATGATTAACATTGTTGTGACTGTTGTGATAATTATTGTTATTTTGACTAAAAGGGTAGAAATATCACAGCAAGAAATAGAATTAATTTTTATACATTCTTATACTTTTTTTCCAGTTTATAAAAATGTGTCCATGTACATAGCCTCCGGGCAGATACAGAATGTAAATTATAATGATGAAGAAATAACCAAAAATTGCATGGATCATTTTTTTCTTACTGTTCAGAAGAGCCATGTCTATAAATAAAGAATGGTCAATTTAAAAATTTATGTCTCCATCATTCATTCAAAGTCTTTGATTATGTTTTCTTTAGGCCAAAAATCAAGAATTCAAAGCCAATAAACTTCAGAAGAACATATTAGGGTTTTTGTCTCTTAAAACTGTCTTTCAAGCATATTTTGTTTTGCATCAGCTTCTGCACTAGACACAGAGAAAATCAATCTCCATGAAATTTTGGCATAATATTGTGCACAATGAAGACATTAGGGTTATTTGGAAAAGCACAGAGAACACAGGTAAACTAGAGAGGCCATATGGATGTTTGTCTGACAAATGAAAATTTTTGATATAAATAACTTTCTTCTTACCTAAAGCTCAAAGTAGCTCATTAACATGATAAATTATTGTAAAGCAAATGATATTTGTCAAAAGACCATATGATGTTTTTGAGACATTGAGAGCTTAGCCTAAATGGTCAAGTCCTTAAACCTCAAGGAATTAAACAACCCTGATAAAGTTAAAAATGTAATCTTTTCCCCCATTCATCTGAAATAGCACAAATATTTGGTGCCAAGAAAAAAATGCATAATGAAAGAAATTATGCTCGTGTACAAAATTACATATTTGAAGATTTTTGCAAAGGAAGATGAGTGCATAACAGTAAGGGGAATTCAAACTTACTACTAATAGGAGATGGTATTTTAAATGATGGTTAGAAAGGATTTTTTATTGCCAAGGAAGGGAGAGTTGCCTTCAATAAATAGTACTATTAGAGTCCATTTGATAATTCATCCACATAATGGTATCTATAACACAAATTTCTGTTCTCTAAAGAAGCCTTTAATTTTATAAAACAGGCTAGAAGCTCCATGAAGACATATATTGAGACTTCTTTCGGTACTTTTGTCTTACTATTTGGGTTTTAATTGTATATTCTTAGGGCTCACAATAGCACCTGACACAGGGAAGACACATACACAAAACAACACTTGAAAAATCTACTAAAACTGATGGGGTACAACAACGCTTAACATAAAGAAAATATTAGTTAAAATACACATTCAACCATATCAAAAAGATGGCAAAGAGATGCTTCGAAGATAAGGCCTTTGTCATTCCTTAAGTAGGCTTGTGCTCACTTTGATTTGTTAACATGGTATTGATCTAATTTTGTTAATCTTTTTCACTATTTCATAGGCACTATTGTTGATTACTGTGGCAGAGGGATTACAGAGCTTTTCTGAGAAATTAAAAAATTAATAGGGAGAGAACTCTGAGAATAAATGGTTACTTGCTCATAACAGCTTATAACATTCATAATGCTTTCGTTTAAAATAAAGTTCCAATCCATAAAAAAATGTACTCTTGTGTTATGTTGAAGTTTAACTTCATTTTTCTTTAAAATAAATGGACAATCCTGTCAATACTGTCTCCAGTGATTGATCTGAGATACTCTGTGATGGTCATTTATATGTGTCAATGTAGCTAGGCTACACTACTCAGTTATTCAATTCACCACCAATTGAGTTATTGCTGTGAAGGTATTTTGTAGATGGAACTGGAGTCCATATTTAGTTGATTTTAAGTAAGAGATATGGCCTTATTCTACTTGGATGGCCCAGATTCAATCAGACAAAATGCCCTAAGTGTAGAACTGAGGCCGCCCTGAGGCAGGAAATTCTGCCCTGCCATGGATGTGGACTTAGCTTGAAAGCTCCCGCCTGCCCATCTTGATGGCCTGCCCAGCGGATTTTGGAATTGCCTGGCCAGCTATCATAACCACTTAAACCAATTCCTTGCAATGTTTTTCTTAGTATGTATTTCCTACTGGCTTTTTCTTTCTCTTATTGAAACCTGACTGATATACCAGTTTGAGTAAAACAAAATCTGCTAATAACTTAAAGTAAAAATTAGAAAGCAGTTTAGATCTTTGTTGATTTAAAGTCTGTTTTATCAGATACTAGGACTACAACCCTGCTTTTATTTTTTTATTTCCATTTGCTTGGTAAATATTCTTCCATCTCTTTATTTTGAGCATATGTGTGTCTTTGCATGGGAGATAGGTTTCCTGAATATGGTACACTAATGGGTCTTGACTATTTATTCAATTTGCCAGTCTGTGTCTTTTAATTGGGGTATTTAGCCTGTTTACATTTAAGTTTAATAGTTTCATGTGTGAATTTGATCCCGCTATTATGATGCTAGCTGGATCATTGGTTGATGCAATTTCTTCATAATGTTGATGGTCTTTACAATTTGGTATGTTTTTGCAGTAGCTGATACCGGTTTTTCCTTTCCATAGCTAGTGCTTCCTTCAGGAGCTCTTGTAAGGCAGACCTGGTGGTCACAAAAAATCTCTCAGCATTTTCTTGTCTGTAGATTTTATTTCTCCTTTGCTTATGAAGCTTAGTTTGACTGGATATGAAATTTTGGGTTGAAAATTCTTTTTTTTAAGAATGCTGAATACTGGTTCCCACTCTCTTCTGGTTTGTAGGGTTTCTGCAGAGAGATCTGCTGTTATTCTGATGGGCTTCCCTTTGTGGGTAACCTGACCTTCCTCGCTTGTTGCCCTTAACATTTTTTCCTTCATTTCAACACTGGTGAATCTGATGATTATGTGTCTTGGAATTGCTCTTCTCAAAGATCAAAAAAGATAAAGAAGGACATTACATAATGGTAAAAGGAACAATGCAACAAGAAGAGCTGACTATCCTAAATATATATCAGGAGCACCAAGACTCATAAAGCAAGTTCTTAGACACATACAAAGAGACTTAGACTCCCACACCATAATAATGGGAGACTTTAACACCCCACTGTCAATATTTGACAGAGTAACAAGACAGAAAATTAACAAGAATATTCAAGTTTTGAACTCAGCTCTGGACCAAGTGGACCCTAATAGACGGCTACAGAACTCTCCACCCCAAATCAACAGAATATACATTCTTCTCAGCATCATATCACATTTATTCTAAAATTGACCACATAATTGGAAGTAAAACATTCCTTAGAAAATGCAAAAGAATGGAAATCATAATAGCCAATCTCTCCAGCCATAGTGCAATCAAATTAGAACTCAGGATTAAGAAACTCACTCAAAACCATACAACTACATGGAAACTGAACAACCTGCTCCTGAATGACTACTGGATAAATAACAAAATTAAGGCAGAAATAAATAAGTTATTTGAAGTCAATGAGAACAAAGACACAACTTACCAGAAACTCTGGGGCACAGCTAACACAGTGTGTAGAGGGAAATTTACAGCACTAAATGTCCACAGGAGAAAGCGGGAAAGATCTAAAACTGACGCCTTAACATCACAATTAAAAGAATTAGAGAAGCAAGGGCAAATGAATTCAAAAGCTAGCAGAAGACAAGAAATAACTAAGATCAGAGCAGAACTGAAGGAGATAGAGACATGAAAAATGCTTCAAAAAATTCATGAATCCAGAGGCTGTTTTTTTAAGATTAACAAAATATGTAGACCACTAGCCAGAAGAAAAGAGAGAAGAATTCAACAGACACAATAAAACATGATAAAGAGGATATCACCACTTGACAAATACACCCTCCCAAGACTAAACCAGGGGAAAGTCAAATCTCTGTATAGACCAATAACAACTTCTGAAATTGAGGTAGTCATTAGTAGCACACCAATCAAAAAAAACAAACAAACAAAAAAAACCAAACAGGAACAGATGAATTCACAGCTGAGTTCTACCACAGGTACAAAGAGGAGCTGTACCATTCCTTCTGAAACTATTCCAAAAAATAGAAAAAGAAGGACTCCTCCCTAACTCATTTTATGAGGCCAGCATCATCCTCATACCAAAACCTGGCAGAGACACAACAACAACCAAAAAGAAAATGTCAGGCCAATATCCCTGATTTACAGTGATGTAAAAATCCTCAATACAATATTGGCAACCAAATCCAGTAGCACATCAAAAAGTTTATCCACCATGATCAAGTCGGCTTCATCCCTGGGATACAAGGCTGGTTCAACATATGCAAACCAGTAAAGGTAATCCATCACATAAACAGAACCAATGACAAAAAACACATTATTATCTCAATAGATGCAGAAAAGGCCTTCAATAAAATCAACACCCCTTTATGCTAAAAACTCTCAATAAACTAGGTATCAGTGGAACATATCTTAAAATAATAAGAGCTATTTATGACAAACCCACAGCCAATATCATACTGGATGGGCAAAAACTGGAAGCATTCCCTTTGAAAACTGGCACAAGACAACGATGCCCTCTCTCACCATTCCTATTCAACATAATATTGGAGGTTATGGACAAGGCAATCAGGCAAGAGAAAGAAATACAGGGTATTTGAATAGGAAGAGAGGAAGTCAAATTGTTTCTGTTTGCAGATGACATAACTGTATATTTAGAAAACCCCATTGTCTCAGCCCAAAAATCTCCTTAAGTTGATAAGCAACTTCAGCAAAGTCTAAGGATACAAAATCAATATGCAAAAATCACAAGCATTCCTATACAAAAAAATAGAGAGTCAAATCATGAGTGAACTTCCATTAATAACTTCTACAAAGAGAATAAAATATCTAGGAACATAATTTACAACGGATGTGAAGGACCTCTTCAAGGAGAATGGCAAACCACTGCTCAAGGAAATAAGAGAGGACACAAACAAATGGAAAAA